ATGGAGATGATGACCTTGTCCAACCATGCTCTGTTTCTCGACTCTAAGGCGGAGTTGATAATGGGCACAGGCTTCCCTCTCTCCCCTGGGGACTTCCTGGATAGAGGCTGCCAGGCCCCAGGAGCACCAGAGTCATGATCCAGCCCACAGGATGTTTGCTTAGCCTTATCAGCAGCAGCCATGCAAACAGAGATGAAGAGCTGTGGTGTGGGCCCCGGGAAACAGCACCCGTGCAGGCTGCTGGGCTCACCACGCGCTCCATCTGCACCTGGCAGAGCGAAAAGTCCACACTCTCATGACGCCCCGGTACGACAGGGACATGGAGGGGAAGCATCCAGCCTGTGGGAGTGGGAGTGAACTACAGCCACGAGGGGACCTGAGGCCCCAGGAGGTCAGGGAGGCTTCGGCAGCCAGCGCTTCCACCTGGGCCACCTCCCTGCACGGCTGAGCCAAGCCCCTGGTGGGATGAACACACACCGCGGTTACGTGGAGCGTAGTGTCACCCTAGACACTGTCGCGGCTAGGGAGTAGGAAGGTGGGCTGTGCGTCGGGAAATGGGAGGTCTGTGGTTTCCAGTGCTCCAGAGACACAGGATGAGTAGGAGCTACCTAACTGATGGGGATAGATGATAGACATCAGTAAGAGAGCAAATGATAGGCAGACAAGCTATTCACCCATACACACGTGTAGACAATCTCTTGTTGCTAAAAAGTCCTTCCCCGGGGAAGATATAAACACTGTCTCTCTCCTAAGGCCCCAATCGCAAAGCAAGGTGTGAGTCCACCAAAGTTCACTTCACAGAGCACCGGGGAGGGGTTGCTCAAGGGAGGGACCGTCCTACAGGAGGTCACACCACAGTCTTCTCCACACCGGCATAGATGGAGCCCCGCCCACTACACACTCTAGCTCCGCCCCAAGGCCCGGTCATAGGGAGCAGCTGGATACTCAGGTGAGGTCTCTGTGAGGGGAAATAGACACAATAATCCCGTCCGGGTGAGGGTTTGGGAGTGGACACAGCTCAAGTCAGGATGACGGTGCAGAGGGCAGCCCTGTATATAACCATATATAGTCATCTTCCATCACACACACACACACACACACAGGGAAGTAAGGGTGGGGCCACAGAATTATCCAGGCAGAGAAGTTCCACCAACACTCATTTGCTTACTGGAGAGGAGGGGGGGGAGCTAATTCAGTCTCAGTCTGGAGACCTGAGACTGTGGGGGGGGGTGAAGGGGGTGTGGTGTGGGGGGGGGTGGGGAGGGCATGGAAAAGGCCGGGCAGTGGAGTAAATGGATCTGAGGGCAGGAAAAGGATACACCAGCCTAAGAAGAGAGAATGGATCACTCCTTTACCTCATTCTAATTAGGCTCCCAGAGGGTGCAGCCCAGGCCGGTGAGTGGTATCTTCCTCACTGGTCCACTGATTCAGACGCTACAGATGTATTTCCTGGTGGAGTCAGTGAAGGTCTCATGCAGCCCAGGCTGGCCTTGAACTCACGTGTCCCGAGGCTGGTCTTGAACAGCTGATCTTCCGATCTTTACCTCCCAAGTGCTGGGATTACAGGCGTGTGCCACCAGATTCCCCAATGCTCATCTCCTCAGGAGACACTGTCACAGAGGCGTCCACACGTGATGTTTAGCCAGATCCCTGGGAATTCTGAGCCTCTTCCCACCCTTTTGTCTATTTAGTACCCACACTCATTACCCTAAGCCACACCTCATCTCCAAAGACATACCTATTCTCGTACAGCCAACCCCCCCCCCAACCTCCTCTCCCAGGAGAAGGTGACATCTTTGAGCAGTGTATATGCTCTTAATAACCCATAACTTAAAATACTATGATCTGAAAGTGCAATTCTCACATATTGATAAAAGTCACCACATCATTAGCGGTGGTGGCGCACGCCCTTAATCCCAGCACTCGGGAGGCAGAGGCAGGTGGATCTCTGTGAGTTCAAGGCCAGCCTGGGCTACAGAGTGAGATCCAGGACAGGCTCCAAAACTACACAGAGAAACCCTGTCTTGAAAAACAAAACAAAAAAAAGTCACTACATCTTACATGGTAGGGAATAAGCAAGAAGAGATCTGCATCATACTTGATCTATGCACAGATGTATTTATAACAAAGAGGAATTATGACATTTCACAGTCCTCAGCTTTGTGACTGGCTGCAGGTGGTAGCAGGCATTTACAATCTACCTTCCATGTGTTCTGCACTTGCTCTGACTGAACCACGTATCTCAACACTTTAGAGACTGTATTTTATTTTTAAAAAATTCTGCAGGGTAGTGATGGCGCACGCCTTTAATCCCAGCACTCGGGAGGCAGAGGCAGGTCGATCTCTGTGAGTTCAAGGCCAGCCTGGGCTACAAAGTGAGTTCCAGGAAAGGCGCAAAGCTACACAGAGAAACCCTGTCTCGGAAAAAAAAAGTGTGTGTGTGTGTGTGTGTGTGTGTGTGTGTGTGTGTGTGTGTGTGTGTGTGTGTGTATGAGTGTAAGCACCTGCAGAGGGCAGAAGAGCGTGTGGGATTCCTTGGATCTCAGATCACAAGTGTCTGTAAACTGCAGTGTGGGTGCTGGGAACTGAAGTTGGGTCCTCCGGAAGAGTGCTCCTCGCTCTAACTCTCCAGTTCCTTCTCTTTTCTGAGACAGGGTCTTGTAGCATAGGCTTGACCATCCATGTAGCTGAGGCTGACCAACTCCCGACCCTCCCACCTCCCGAGTGTTGTGATTACGGGCATGTGCCACCATGGCCGGACAGAAAGCAGTTTTTCTGGGATGGGTGTGGCCCAGTGGTACCACTGCCACTTCCCATTTTGACTCCTGGATGGGAGGGGTCCAGCTACAGCCGAAACCTCAGCACCTGTCCCATGCTGATCCAGAGCAAATGCAGCCTTCTGGGGAACCTCGTCTTAGCCCCATAAGGACTAGGTGGCCTTGTGACCAAGTCACCAAAGGACAGTCCATACATAGTTCTATTAGGATAGCCCTTGGAACAGCGAGGACCATGGAAAGACCTGAGGATTCCATGAGCACGGCTTGCTGGAAGACTTCTTTGGCTGCAGTGAGTATTTTGTTCAGAGGCGATGCTGCGTGGAGTATCGTGGTAGCAGACAGGGCACTCTGTGCAGGTGGGAGTTTTCGCAGGACCGTTAAGCAAGGAAGGAAGGCAAAGCAAATCCAGTGTTTACTCCAGGAAGTCAAACACTGTCCCTTCTAGGACTGAAGATGTGTCGGAGCACGGTTTAGTGCCGGCCTCTGCTCATGGTTGCCTGGGCACTTAACAGCAGACATGGGCACATCAGCCTTGGAGAGTCGAAGGCTGCCACTGGGCCAGCGTCTGGCCTCCATTCCCACCACGGAATACTTTGCTCAAGGCAGGTAGATACCACTGTGGGTGGGGAGAGGCCCTGGCCACTGTGGGTTGGGAGGCCACAGCCACTGGTAACGGAGAAGCTACCTCTCTCCAGCTTAGTCAATCTTCTCACATGTTCTCATTCCAAAGTACCGAGTCCCGCATCCCCAAGGCAATCAGTCTCCTTACATTAATAACAGACACCCTGCGTGGCTGTAACTCAATCACAGGACGAGGCCATCTACCTGATGTCTAGCCAGTGGCTCCTTCCGGCCCAGACCTAGGAGCTCTGGGTCTACATGGCACCTGAACTAGGTCTCTGGACCCCAGAAAACATCTTTTCCGTCCATCATTTTGTCCCTTGGGATCAAACACGCACCGTTCTATTTCTTGGCTTTTCAAATTCTCTAGAAGCCCCTCAGTCAGAGCCGCAGCTTTGTCTAGAAGCACTAGGAGTGTCCAGTGGTGAAATTCACACGTCCCTGTTCACAGGTGATGCCTCCACCAGTGTTCCTTACGATGAGGACAGTGTTGGAGTCGATAATTCCACTAGAGAGCCCACTCCAGAAACTCCTCTGCCTTAGCACCTTCTCAATGGTTATCTTAGAGAAGACCAGGGGCTGGGGGTGGGGTTAAACCTTCAGTCACCTTGTGATAGAGCTGTGATGTTCATTCTGGTAGCTGGCGGGATTTTCTTTCCTTTTTCAGGATGCTACATTTGTATTTGGTTCAGAGATTTGAGGCGGGTAATAGCCACAGGAGTTCAGAAGCAGGGGTCAGGTGCTTAGAGTTCAGAACCAGGGATCACAGGCTTAAGACAGAGGAGACCTGAGCACAACCTGGGATCCCCTCTGAGCACCAGGTTTGACCCCCAGGAGGCAGAGGTCAGGGGGCAAAGCCCGGCTACACTGCTGGTGACCTCAGGTGGCATGCAGATGTCACCAACAGGATGACAGTCACACACTCCTATCCTGGAGCACAGGGAGTCACAGAGATGAACAAAGAGCATCCTCTCCATACACCCAAGGTGCAGCTAGTTCTCCACATGTGGGGACCCACTCGGCTCTCCTCCCTGATGCCCTCCCAGGCGGGGTCTGTGGACCCCTGGGAACCATCCTTCCCTGAGCCATTCTCTCAGGTCCCTCTGAGCAATCCCTGTTCACTAGACAGCGTCCACTCAGCCTCAGTCAGAGCTGAGTGAGGAGGGAGCCAACGGCAGCACCGGGGGGTGGGGGATGGCCCCCACAGGGCAACCACCGTCAACTGGGCTCCCCAAGCTGGACCCGCGCTATTGAGTCGTCAGTGGCCCTGGCTGTGGGCACAGGTGGGGAGAATGCACAGAAGTCACGGGGAATCTCCCAGGGGAGCTGGCTTCAATAATTGCATCCGTTCATTAAAAGCATGTTTTGCACGTGGTGGTGCACGCACGTGACCCCAGCGCTGGGGAGGCTGAGGCAGGAAGTTTGAGTGCAAAGGCAGCCTGAGCTTAAAAAAAAAATAATGCCGGGCTGTGGGGGTGCATGCCTTTAATCTCTGCACTTGGGAAGCAGACCTCGGAGTGTGAAGCCAGTCTGGGCTACATGACAAGTTCCAGGTTAGTCACGGCAAAGGAAAAGGATGGAGTGAAGGAGGCCGACAGCTTGTGAAATAGATATACAAAATTCAATCCCTTTAGTTTAAAACACGTTCAACGATACAATTAAAACAAGTAAAACTGATTTCATTAAAACAAAATATAAAATAGTGTTATGTGACCCGTATCCCGTCTTAGAAAACCAGCTCTTTTGCTCACATACTTCATTAGAACAGTTTTACCTACGTATACAGCTAACATCCTAGTCATACAAGTGACCTTCTCCAGCTCCCTGAACCTACCGAGACCCGCAATTGTATTTCTGTTACAGGATTTGTTATAAAATTACATTGTAAAGTTTTGGTTTTTTTTTTTTTTTAATATTTAAGTGTATATAAAACATTCTCCTGCCACAGTCGCGTAAATCCACGAGAGCTTTCTAGGTGGCACACACGGCAGCCAAGGCTTGAAAGCTCGGAAAGGTGGCAGTCGCAGAAGTCGGCCCATTTGGGGACGCGTGGCTGGCGGGATGACAGCCGGGACTCGGCAGGGCACAGCTTGCTGACATCTGCATGCACACCCCACACGGTGGCTGCAGCGAGTCTTCCCTCAGTCCCACTCAGGCTGCAGAAGCCCACGTGATGACGACACGCTCCAGAGCAGGCGTCTCTGCCACCCGGGATGGCTTTTTGCTACACTAGGGAACACTTGCTCGTGTTTGGGAAGATGCTTTCTACCTGCTTGGTCCACGTTATCCAAAATAGCCTCTTCTCTGGGGGAGGGTTTTCAAAGCAGATCTTCCTGTTTGCCTTCACTATCTGTACACAGATACCGTCTTTATATATTATAGATTTGTATCGGACATGTATGTACACATTTACAGGCAGACCTTCAGAACGATATTGCACTTATATACAACGCAGCTTTAACTGAGATAACCCCGCACGGTCACCCACTGGAGTTCTTCTTAAGAAAGGCAGTCGAGACGTCCAAGGAAGTTGCAAGAAAGGTTCCAGTGATGCACCCTATTCAGTAAACATCGGAGGAGGGGAGGAGGAGGGAGAGGGCAGCCCTTTATTACTCAGGGCTGGGCCCACTCCCCAAGGTAGCTGGAGTTAGACCGCGATCAGGCAAGAACGCAAACTCCTCAAAGACCAGCTACCGCCTGCCCGACTTGCCAGGCAGCGGCGGCCCACGGCTATCCAGGGCATAGGCAGATCTCCCGAGATTTGGTAAGTTATGTAGCAGATAACCCAAAGGTTCCCACAGTCTTATATCCAGTACAAAGTCCTCACGCTCTGCTTTCTAAGCACATCAGAAATTCAAACACAACAACGTATGGATTTCTATCACACGGGAAACACCAACACAGCATGTGACAGGCAACGCCATCTCCCACGTGAAAGGTTCCTTCCCTGATATTCAAGGTGTCCGCAGGGTGGGTGCCCGGGCTCCTCAGCTGGCCAAACTGTAAGTTCTACGGGACATTTTCACTGAACTCCCACACCTGGGGGCTGAGGGCCCCGCACCTTAGATCTCCGTCAGGGTGAGCTTGTACGAGCCGCCGGCTTCTTCAATCTGCAGCTGGAAGGTGTCTTCATTGGAATAGTGTTTCACGATGTTGTCGTCCATGTTCACCAGGATCCTGGACAAAGACAGGGCATGAGTCCCCACCAGCCTCCTCGGCTCTGGAGCGAGGCTTGCATTTGCCTGAGAGCTGGGCATTGACTGGCTGTGACTTGTGGGGACATTGTCACATCTTCCCATGCTGTGGCTGCCTCATTCGGAAGACCAGTGAGAGCCAGGTAGAGAGGGAACCGAGTTAAGGATCCCGGAAGCAGGTGGCAGGTGGAGAACGCTGCCTGTTTTATCCCATCTGGCCTAGAGTGTTCACGCACCAAATGGTACCCGATACGGTTGTTCTACGTTAGAATCGGTAGAACTCATCTCCACGGAGTCAGTCACCTGACAGGTTACCCTTCCTGGTAAGCGACCCTCAAAGTTTAAACACAGTAGTTAAGCTTAACCCTTCCTGTTAGATTCATCTAGAAAATTCCAATTAGCATTTGGTTTAGAAAGAAGACAAAAGGTCTTATACTATGTATTGTGCTTATTCGTGCCGAAGAGCACAAGGAAAACAGAACTAAAAATCGTAATTTCTGGGGCCAGCTAGATGGCTCTCCAGGTAAAGGTGCCTGTGTCTGTGGCCAAGCCTGGCGACCTGGGTTCCATCCTCGGCACCCACGTGGTGGGAGAGAACGGACTCCTGAAAGCTGTTCTCTGACCTTCACGAGTGCATTGTGGCGTGGACACACACACACACACACACACACACACACACACACACATATACACTATACTAAAAATTAATTTCTGGACAAGAAGCAATTTTCTGTAGCTTGAAAATACAACCCACGGTAGGGCGTTCAAGAGAGGGAAAAGGCTTTGGGGTCAGTCAGAACTGGTGTGAGTCCCAGCCCCACATCACCAAACCACACAATCACAGACAAGCCCTTCCTCCTCTGAGCCTCAGACGCCTCATTTAAGAACACTAAGACCCATCTCAAAAACATGAAGTGGAAACCAGGTGAGTGGTGTGAGACGTGACAGGAAAGAAGACGCAACCTCCTTAGGCGGCTTCCTCGCACACCCTGGAGGGCGGAGCCACTTCATGGCTGCCAGGCTCGGGAGGGCGAATACAGATTTCCTTTTTCCCTTGAAAAACTGATCTTGCCGGGCAGTGGTGGCGCACGCCTTTAATCCCAGCACTCGGGAGGCACAGGCAGGCGGATCTCTGTGAGTTCGAGGCCAGCCTGGCCTACAAAGCGAGTTCCAGGAAAGGGGCAAAGCTACACAGAGAAACCCTGTCTCGAAAACCAAAAAAACTGATCTTCAAATTTAATAAGGAAAAGAAAGCGAGGCATGGTGGTTCACGCCTACACTCCCTGCACTGGGGAGCCTGAGACAGGAGGATTGCCATGAGTTCAGGGATAGCCTGGGCTACAGAGTGTGACCCCTGACTCACTCTTCCACTTTCTCCCACACAAAGAAAAGCAGAAACCCCAGATTTAACAATCGCATTCTCATGGCTGCTTCCGGACGGCATGCCACTGAGAGCATGTCACATCACAGCTGGGGACGACTGTCTGCGGGGTACAGAGGGCTGTGACGACTGTCTGTGGGTACACAGGGCTGTGACGACTGTCTGTGGGGTACACAGGGCTGTGACGACTGTCTGCGGGTACACAGGGCTGTGACGACTGTCTGCGGGGTACAGAGGGCTGTGACGACTGTCTGTGGGGTACAGAGGGCTGTGACGACTGTCTGTGGGGTACACAGGGCTGTGACGACTGTCTGCGGGGTACACAGGGCTGTGACGACTGTCTGCGGGGTACACAGGGCTGTGACGACTGTGGGGTACACAGGGCGGGGTACACAGGGCTGGGGACGACTGTCCTCAGGGTACACAGAACACGGCCATTACTCACCCTTTTTTGCACTTCTTAAATATTTTCCCAATCTTGTCATGGGGGACGTCATACTTGTCTGAGATCTAAAAGAACAGAGAACAAGAATGTTGTTGTCAAGGCTTTAGCAAACAACCGCACAATTACACTCCAGTGCCCATTTTATCTTTTTTTAAAGATTTTTAGTCATGTGTACGTGTGTACACACATTTACTAATTTTGAGTTTATGAGTACGAGTGTTTTGTCTGCGTGTGTGTCGGGGCACCACATGACGCCTGGCACCTCTGCAAGTCAGAAGAGGCCTTGCATCCCCGGGACTGGAGTTACAGACAGCTGTGTGCCACCATGTGGGTGCTGGGAACTGAACCCAGGTCCTCTGGAAGAGCAGCCAGTGCTCTAACCACTGAACCATCTCTGCAGTCTGTGCATGTGCGTGTGTGTGTTTTGAGACAAGTTCTTACTAGAGCCAAAGGTGGCCTCAAACCTGGAATTCCTTCTGTCTACCTGCCCCTCACAATATTGGGTTTTTCTGTGTAGTTTTGGTGCCTGTCCTGGAACTCACTCTGTAGCCCAGGCTGGACTCGAACTCACCGAGATCCACTTGCCTCTACCTCCCAAGTGCTGGGATTAAAGGCGTGCGCCACTGCCGCCAGGCTATGGATGACATTTTTAAGGCTTTACTATCTTCAGCTTCCAAGCGGTTTGCTACACGCGCGCACACACACACACACACACACACACACAGAATTAAACTGCCCCCTAGGCCATCACACATGGAATTCAGCAGAACAGACATGACAGAGTGACCCACCTACCAACTCCAGGCTGGTCACAAGGGACAAGACAGACCTGCAGTCAAGCAAGGATGCCCAGGGCGGGCCAGAGGCGGGCGGGCAGCGCTACAGACATCCACAAAGGACGGCTGGGAAAAGAGGTCAAGGTTCCAGTGCGGCAGAGGAATCGCGTTGTCTAATAGAGTGCTTCAGCGGGCCTGCGAGGCTCCCCGCATTTTTACAGAGGGACTGAGGTGTGCGTCCTACTTACTGCCTCCATCAAGCCCTTCAAAGACGGCGTCTTGAGCATCAGAGCATCGAAGACTTCTTCGGACTCCTTTCGGACATAGAGCAGCACTGGGTGGGGGCGGGGGAGAAAAGCAGTCAATGCACATGAGCAAATGCATGAAGAGACCACAGGGACGAGTTAGGACGGCCAGACACAGCTCCACGAGGGACAGCAACACACACCACCCCAGTGCGAGCCTCAGGACCCAGCGGCCGCCTCCCCTGAACTCTGCCTCCCCCACACTCGGGGAGGTGGTGGTCTGAAGGACGAACATGCAGGGGGGCGAAGCCAGAGAAGCCAAGTGCCGGAGCTCACTGTGGTCTAAGGATTCCCACTTATCACCGGGACCCAGCACACCTCTCTTGGGTTCCTCTGTCCGGGTCAGCTTTGTAGGTGGAGGCACTATGAAGTCATCCTCGGTTCCAAAGGGCCCCCTTTTCAAGACAGACCTGTGGGTGAGCAGAAGCAGAGTTAGGTCGGTCATCCGCTTCAACTCCGATAACTGCCCGAGCACAAGGAGGTTTTTTCAGAGCAGTCACTGCACTTTAGACTCAAAATCCTTTCATTCTTTATGTGGTCCAAGCCGGAAGACGACCTGGGTGGGGCTCATTAGGCCTGGGCCACCCAAATGGCGTGTGGATGGGCTCCGTTGCTGGACATCCTTCCACTAACCCAGCTCTGAGCCCAGGAAAGCAGAGCCAGGTCTGCTGTGACAGAAGACGCCTAGGCAGGCCGGCCGCCTCCTCCGCTCGGCTTTAAGGAATCGTGGGTTTTATGTCACAGGTCGGGGCTCTTCAAGGTGTGTCAGGTGGACGGTTGTGGCCGAAATGTGTGGTCTACACTGCAGGAAATCCCAGGCCCCCAGGTAGGACAGGACATTAGGAGGCCTGGGTGACAACCACAGTGTAGCTTCTAGAGACTTCCAGGAAATAGCGGGGGAGGGTGGACAAGGAGCCTGAGAGGAAACTGCACGGGTCTGAGGCGCAGCCGGCAAAGGCCTGTGTTCTGGGGAGCGTCTGTGAGGCGAGTGAAGAAACCGATGAGTGGAAATAAGGACAGCAGGTCCTTTTTCGGAACGGGCCTGAAAGCAGCGGCACACCTCAGCTCCCCGGTCACCACAGGTGCTTGGTGACGGCGCCTGCAGGAGCCGTGTCTGAGACACCAAGAGTGGGACCAGGGGCGCGGGCCTGGCACTCAGGCAAGGCACAGCCGGCAACAAACGAGGGTGGGGGCGGCCCGAGGAGGGAAAACGAAAACAGAACCAAGAAAGCCAGGCATGGGGGCGTGTGCCTGCCGCCACAGCACTCAGAAGCCCGAGGTGGGAACTGCTCCGGAGTCTGACTCCGGACGGGGCTACACAGTGAGTCCTAGGCCAGCCCGGGCCAGGGTACGGCCCATCTCAAAAGCCAAAACCCAAACGGAGACGCGGGGAGAGAGGCCTAAGGCAGCTGCCAACATCTGGGCGTTCCGTCTCCATGCACTTTTGTGTGAGCAGAAAGAGCAATGACCAAAGCAGACTCTACTACTTCTTCAGAACTCAGTCCCGAAGTCACCATGGCGGACGAGCCAGGCTGGGGTCTGCAGAGGGGGCATCAAAGCTTCAGAGGGACCTGGACTCCCTGTCCTGATTCCACACACCGCCTCCCTACGGGGAAACCAGCGTTTCCTGGACAGGAGGCCGGGTCTGTGGCCAGACAAGGGAAACGCTAGCACTGGATAGGGCCAGGGCCAGGGGCTGCTCCAGGGGACGGGGCCCAAGCCAACAGAGGCCATCGGTGACTCCCTGTGAGTGAAGGGATGCCTTCATCTTCAAGAGGGAAACAGAGCCCTGCACTGATACAAATGAGGGAGGAAAGTGGAAGTTTGGAGGTGAATGAGGGACTGACAGGGTGCAGTGCACGGTCCCCCCAGCACAGGAGACAAAAGGGAAGACGTCTAAGCAGAGGCTTAGGCACGTGGGCACCGTGGGCACAGGCATGAGATAAACGGAGCGGGGTGCCAGGGGGGGAGCCGTCAGGGGACAGTGTTGCCGTAAGCCATCCTGCCGCTGCGCACATCTGGAGCGCGCCATGAGGCCGCAACTGCAGAGGCCCCGAAAGCAAGTCAGAGCAGGGTGTTCCAGACCGAGGTGGTTAACCACCCCACCATGGGAGGCTCTCAGCTGGATCTGGCCTCGCCTAAGGGCGTTAACGGTGTTACTGCACCATCAGTGTGAGCTGAGTGGGGGTGGTGGGGGGTGGGGGGTGCGCGGCTGGGCCGGCAGAGTTCCCTCCCACACCGTGGGACACAAGCGAGGTCCCTGTTGATAGGAGGCGGACACCTGGTATTCAGGAACAGAGGGGTCTGGGTCAGCTCCACATCCTTTCATTGGAAGCGGGGTCTCGCTCTGCCGCCCTGGCCTGAGACTCGCTGCGGAGCCCAGGATGGCTTCAGTTCCCATCTCCCCGCCTCCGTCTCACAAGTGCTAGGATGTTAGGTTGGTGTCACTACACCTCACTGAGAAACTTGACGTAAACAGCCCAGGGGAACAGGCTCTCCGCACTGGAGCTCTACATTTTTGGCAAGTTTGAGTTTATTAGAGTAAAAGAAAACGTAAGCCTTACCCTTCACCTTCCAGATCTTCAGGGGGGATGGGAAGAACCTAAGACCAAAACCACAGAGTCAGACTCTTTTCCAAACTCGTTCAAATAGGTCAGACGACAGATAAGTAAATCAGTGCCAAGGTGGAGATAATTTTGAGTGTGACCAGCCTAACACCAAATCCTTCTAAAGGACACAATCCTGTAGCCATATTTTTTACAGCTGACTCAGGGGCTGGTCTCTGTGGCCTATGGATCCAACCTGATGGAGGCTGGCTGATGTCAACGTTTAGCGGACGGATGTCCCACTCATTCAGTCCCTCACCGTGTGTGGCTCCCTCTGCAACCGAATGGCAGCGTGGAACAGCCATTCACTGGTGCCAGTCCCTTCACAGGAAAAGCCAGCAGACGGCAGCTCGCCCTGAGGCGTCTCAGTGGAGTCAGAGTATTGGTAACGCCTTTGCAAACTCTTTAGTCCCTTACAAATCTGTCCAGTAAGTGCATGGCAGGGTCCCTTTTGTGGTATTTACCTGACCTCAGTAAAAAAGAAAAGCCACACTCTCCCGAAGCTCCGGTCCCACAAAGCAGGGCATGGCTGGCTTTTAAAGGTGGCATGGGTTGGTTGCTCAGACATGGGTGGAGAGCACATGGCACATGCCAATGACATCCACAATGGGAACGAAAGAAGGGGGCCTTCGGACACAGGTGCCACCCAAGCTGAGCTTACCAGACCACAGACTCGAACTCTGAATGTGAGGCTACCCTCAACATCTTCACATGAGCTACGACGTGAAAGTACTCAAGTGGAACTTAGGCGAGAGGTCCGACACTGTATCTTTGGATCGGCACCATTTACCGTTTGATTGCAATGGGTATCATGTCACTTTCACGGCTGAAAGTTCCCCAGAGCTCACTACCTGACTAAAAGGCCATTGCGGTCTGACTATGAAAAGCGCCAGGAGTTTCTTTCTGCCGGCCCTGCAGCCTCTCCCAAGAGGCTGGTACCTACGTGACTGCCCCGCTGCAGGTTGGTAAAATGCACATCGGGGATGAAGAGGACCGGCTGGGTTTCCAGATCCAGGAAGGGCTTGAACACCGTGATGTCCGTCCGTTTGTGTGAGGGAAGCAGTTGCACCTTAACATCGGGAACTGGGGAGCAAAAACAGGCCGCCAAGAGATTAAAGTCATGGGCTGCTGTGTGCGCGGTGATGCACGGCTTTAATCCCAGCACCCCCCCTGGGGGGCGGGGCGGGGGCAGAGGCTGCTCCAGCTCTAGGATTTGGAGGCCAGCCTGATCTACATAGTGAGCCAGAACCAGCATCCAAAAAGCTTGAGCCCAGGATAACCCAAGACACTGGCCCGCAGTTCTGTGAGCAAGTCTCTGCCCTCCTCTCAGCCGCTGGTGACGGCCATGTCAGCCTCGCCCCCATCCAGCCCACACTCTGCAGGACACGCCACCGCCAGGCGCCCCCGGAACCCGGGTCAGCACACTTGCCTTTTCTCTTGCTCTGCTTCCGCTCTTCGTCCCTGATTTTCCGCTCGGCGCCCTGCAGACAGAGGAAGGAGACAAGAGCCTGCAGGTCAGGTCCTCTGGGAGCGAGAAGGCTCTCTGGAAGTGAATGCTGTCCCGGGGCTTGCCACCTGCGTTTCCTCTCAGAAGCCCACCCCGCTCACTGAGGTACATCCTCAGCATGTATGGGAATGCCATATGGAAACCCCTTTCTACAATTAACACACCTAGTAACACTTTTACAACTCCTTAAAATCATTTCTGGCTACATCAATCACAGGGAACATTTTAAACACAAGCAAAGCAAAATTCCTCTTGATCACAGATGCGGCCAGGTTAAAGGCAAGCTGAGAGAGCCTGCTAGCACACCACATTGCCTGCCAAGGTGTGGGTACCTTCCCCCTACCTCACAGGAAGGGACCATGAAAGAAAAAAATAAAATTTGGCCCTGTAAATATTCCCTGTGTGGCGAGGTCATCACGGAGAGCAAAGGCTCTGTCCAAAGACATGGCGGCCGTGAGTGACAGACACAATCAGGTATCGATCACAAAAGCAAAGATATCACTAGCAGTCTTTGTGCCGTGTGCTGTAAAAGGACTTCCTTGTGCTATGTGGACATCAACTGTACAGAGTGGCAGCCTCAGGCAACTGAACCCACAAAAATAGTCACGAGAACTTCACTAGTAACAAAAAACAAGTAACTGAAACTGGGTACCATTCCACACATCAGCACCGAATCCTTCTCCTTTCTCTAGTGATCACGTCTCTGGACCGTGCAGATGCCCAGCGAGGCAGAAACTGTTGGCTTGGTCTCTGTTAAATATGCTCCCTGATAGGAAGGAGGAAGTGAAGGGCCTTGCATCGGATCTTTGGCATCGTTACACGATAAGGATCAGGTTTGAAAACAGAGCACAGAACCTCTTGCCTGCTCTAGAAGGTGCTAACACCTTGTACGTGGACACGGTAGGTGTACAACGCGGTAGATGTAGAGCCTGCATCTAAGAACTGCCCAGCAGGTAAAATGATCGCAATACAAGGGTAAGGACTAGAGTTCGGGTCCCCAGACGCCATGTAAACTGTGGGTGGGCACTACAGCCCTGTCTACAGTCCCGGTGAGCAAAAGGTCGAGACCTTGCATCCCTGGAGTTAGCTGGCTAGCGGGAGCTGCCGGACTGGCCATTTGGGTTCTAATGAGAGATCCTGCCTCTACATATACCGTGGAAAGTAATCAAGGAAGACACAGTACATCAAACTCGGACCTCTTCACACATACACACATGCACACACACCGTCTCACGTGAATATCCACATGCAAATAAATACATACCCACACGCGCACACACCACACACAAATACAATGAGATGATTGCCATATGCTGTTGACACAGACTCCCTGACAGAGAAGCAGGGCAGTGTCCCCAGGCCCCTGGCCAATCTGGGAGAGAGCCAGCCGCATGTCTCCCAGTGCCTCCTAACAGCCTCGGAGTAACTTCAGTTAGATGAGGCTGTACCTCCACCCCAAAGGCGGTCTCACAGACCTTGTCACTAGCCATATCCAGAAAGAATAACAAGGAACTCAGGCTCACAAAGAATAACAAGGAACTCAGGCTCACAATCGATTCTGAACCGCCGGCCCCTGCATAGCGGGAGGGGGCAGGACGGTCCCTTCAGCTGTAAGCCCCGGTGGCTCCAGAGTGCCCGCTGAAGAAGAGTAAGGATGACAGAGCACACGGGATTCCATCCTGAGAGCCCAGCAGCTTCCAGGTACATGGGGTGCAAAGAGGTTCCTCTCATTACACACACCCCAGACACAGAAACACACCCTGACACAGGAACACACCCTGACACAGGAACACACCCCAGACCAGAAACACACCCTGACACAGAAACACACCCCAGACAACACACCCCAGACACAGAAACACACCCTGACACAGGAACACACCCCGACATGCACACAGGGCGAGCACACTGTCTGTTCTCACCAACTGGACTGGAAAAAGCTTTCCTCTCTCAGGGCACTGAACCAACACCCAGGAAAATCCTGCTCAGTAGTGCAGGGTAATGAGCCTGACACAGTGTGGCCCCAGAGTCACCCTATCGGATCATAAGATGACACCTGAACAAATCGACTGTTTCCAAGAAACTTCCTGAGGTCTCAGGACAGACCTGAAGATGAATGAGTCCTAGGTATAAAAAACACTCAGCCCCAGCAAGGCAAAATGCACAAGGCCAGATGCCCAGCAAGACAGCCAGGTTTCCATCCCAACAGAAAGGAAGTCAAACCATGGAAGTGGACCCAGACACGGGTACCAGGCACAGACATTAAGCTGGTAAATGCCATTTTATCCCATATGTCAAAAGCTATCAAAAACTACACCTGGCCTGAGGGCGTGGCTCAGAGGGACAGCAACTGCCCATTGTGCACAAGACTCCACGTGTGCTCAGGACCACAAGAGGAACCGCCAAAAACAATAACACCACCACTACCAACAGCAAAACCAAACCCACCGCTCCCTAAGTGGAGACATGATCTAAAATGGGTCCAGCTTGAACTTTCAGAGATGAGAATGCCAGTGGACAGAGTTCAGTGGATAGAGTTCAGCTCCATGGTTCAGACCTGGCAAAGGATCAGCAAACCTAGGGAACTCTCTGGAATGAGGTAAGAAAAACCAAACGACGATGGGCCATCGGCGAAACTCAAAGCGCTGCACAGCTGTAACTGGAGAACCCGAGAGGAAGGCGCGGCCATGTCTGAAGAAACAAGGGCCAGACATGTTCCAAACCCAAGGAAAGCCACAAACACACAAATGCTCGGCACACTCAAGAACGTGGAGCCGCACCAGACTCACATGCTCACAACCAGTGGGAGAGAAAACTCTTGCTAAGAGTTACAGACAGGAAGACGCTCTTAGGCACAGAATGGACCGGGTGGCTGCAGCCTCGTCAGCAGCACCGGCTGTAAGTCTGTGCAGCACCTGTGGGCCGACAGACGGACATCACACCCAGCACAAGACCTCAATTCGAAATACGCACTTCTCACCAAGAAGAGCTGAAGGGTTCCCTCCCAGGTCTCAGACGCCGCAAGGTGTTACAGGAAGACCTGGGACGGTATGGGGACCCTCTCGCTTCACCTGCTGGAAATGTGCTTGGGCACAGCACAGGGCTGGTCCCCAAACGCTAGGCTAAAAACCTGCCACTTGTTCGGGCGAAGATGCCCAGGACTCTGAGGAGGAGACTGCCTTCTGTGGGAGCGCCAGCGAGATGCTGGCACAGGCCTTAAGCCCAGCCCTCGGGGGAACAGGCAGCAGGCTCAGGAATTCAAGGTCATTCTTGCTACGTAAGACAGTGTGTCAGGCACCAGAGGGAGGGGTCAGCGAGACACAAGAAAAGGCAGCGACCCAAGGTCCACTGGCCGGAAATGCACACTTGGCCACGTTTCCCCTGAAAGTGTGCGGAGTGGCTGCTGTTCCTGAAAGATGACAAACTCGCTTATCAACCAGCTCAGCAGCTCATAATGATGGGATGGTACTACGTCCTTAGGAAGGATATATACCGCCCATACGGCAAAGGACGCCCCCGAGTGCCTTACTTCTGACTACAACTGAGAGTCAGGGCCGGGAGGAGGCACTGGAAAGCGGTGAACAACACACGTGGGTCAAACTCAGAGGACAGTCAGGGCCACAGTCAGGGCCACGGAGAGCTGAGCAGCTCTGGTTTGCAGAGGCCTTATGAAGAGAGCAGCGTGTTCAAGACACTCAAAAAGTGAACTCACGAATTCTCAAGAATGCCCAGGGAAATTATTAGACAGGAAAGATTTAACAGAACCAGATGTGAAAAAAATAAATAAAAGTTGGAATAGAACTGCATTTTCTCTAGTTTTATAAAAAGAATGCCAACGTCCTGATAACTCCTCCAAAGGGCTCTTCTTTGTCGTCGTTTTGAGACTGTGTGTGTGTGTGTGTGTGTGTGTGTGTGTGTGTGTGTGTATGTGTGTGTACGTGCCTGTGCATGTATGTAGCCCAGGCTGGCCTCTGTCTCCCAGTTCCCCTGGCCTCCCAGGTGCTGGTGCCACACACCTGGATCACCAGCTTTTCTCTGGGCCACGGAGGGATGTGGTCAGATGGGAGGAGCCTGACCTGGGTCACAGGTGCTCGTGCCCACCAGCTCTGACTCACTGTTTCCACGGACAGCCCACGGGAAGCACCTGGGTTCCACTGATCCCCACACCTGATCCCGGGGCCTGGGAAGGAGCAGGTTATGGCACAGGGGAGGGACGGCGGCTAGATAACCGGCTGGAAGATGGGGAAATGACCCTAGGTCAGCTGTGGAAGCCCGAGGCGATCCCAAGGGACCAGAGAGCAGAACAATCGGAGGTATAATGAAGACGCAGAGAGGTCTGGGTGACCCAGTGTGAGCCGCTGCAGGCTTGAGACAGAGGCAAACCGTGTCCAGCAGGAGGTGGGAAAGGGATGGAAACAGACGGTCTAGAAAGGAATGCAGACGGGCTCACACCTCGCTGGCGGCTCAGGAAGAGTGAGCTAGCACCGGATAGTAAAAGGGTGGTGCTTTCAGCCACGAATTTGTGGTCATTTGTGACAGGTGGAGACCCTGGCCTGCAGATGCGCCCAAGCTGGCAGGCTGCTGAGAAAGCTCTCTGAAGGCGAAGGTCGCCGGCGCCCTCTAGTGGTCAGACGCGGCAGCCCGGCCAGTCTGGGACCACACAGGAGACCAGGCTCTGCACCCAGCAAAGGTGGCGTCTGCGTCCCAGGGAGAAGCAGCTGCAGCAGAGAGAGAGACTTGAAGCGGAAGCAGAAATCCTGGGGATGGCCTGACTGAGGGCCAGTACAGTAGTTACCGATCTGGGCCCAGGACCGGGTCCACATCCTTTACTTTATGGGACACAAACAACAAAGTGTGGCATCTCATTATCCCGGTCTTTTTTAGTGCAAGTGAGTATTTCCCCTTCCTTCTACAGTTTAGCCTCTTTTCGCGCAAGGGTGAAGGGTAAGGGCCCACTTCAGGAAGCCTCCCCCAGCCGCTCTTCGCTGAGCCGGCTGCTCACTCACCTTGTCGCAGAAGACCTTGATCTGGCAGTAGGCTCTGTGGACCGGCTTGTTGCTACGGTTGTTATAGCTGTAGGTGTCGATCTGGATGTTGAGCGGTAAGCCCTTCACGCCCTTCTGAGAAGAGAAATCCGTGCTTAAGCAGTTCACGGAGATGAACACCTGGGAAGGAAGAGCAGCCTCCATGAGTTGCAACTCCAGCAGCCGGCCCGGCCCGGCCTTTGCAAATGATGGACCCTCGAGACTCTCATGATTCTTTTTCTTTTGTCCCCCAGGTTACAGCTTATGATGAAGGGGAGTCAGAGCAGGAACTAAGGCAGAGATGGAAGAACAGTAATTCCTGCCTGGCTCTCCAGGGCTTGCTCAAACTGCTTTCTCTTACCACCCCGATCATCTATCTAGAAGTGGCACTACTGGCCAGTGGGCCGGGACTCTGCTGATTCTTAGAGACAGCAGAGGCCTCATCTGGAGGGCAGTTCTGAGCATAGGCATGGAGAGGAAGGAGGGGGGCGTGGGGGCTGTTGACTCCCAGGATCGTTCTTGGATGTCAGCGAGGACAAGCAGACAACGTGGCCCCCACGGCTAATGTCATTTTCCAGGGACACTGCGGTGTCTCCTGGCTGCTGGGGAACAACTCTGGAACCACCTGTGCCTCCGATGTCACCTCAGATAGTCTGTAGCAGCCTATGTCCTAGTGTGCCAGGGCTTCACCTAAGCTGGCTTCTCCTAATCTGTAGTGTGACTATAAAATTCCAGCGGAATTCACATGCAACCCCAGCCCGCTCATATTCATTTCTCTTTCTTCTGGGTGTTTGGTAACAGAATCACTTCGGGCCAAGTCCTCAGAGAATAATTTAAAATCCCAGTGATGTCCAAGACTCTTTTGGGGAGGCCTTTCATAATTTAAATATAATTTGGATTCACCACAGGCTTGGGTAGGCACGACAGTTGGCAAAGATTTCCACAGCCTTTAATTACGCTGGCTTCTGAACAGTCGCAAAACACTCCTACATTCCTCACTGAGGGAGGCTCCAGAGATGTGGCGAGAACACGCGAGAAGCCATGAAGACATCGTTATGGGTTGAGGGAGCCTTTGTACATGGGAGAAAGGAACTCTGTGGGCCACTGGTGGGCACGTTTCCTCCAGACACAAAGTACTATAGAGAGCAGCAGACGGGCAGAGATCACCGCCACCTTATCACCTCTCACCAGCAGCTGAACTGCCACTGACCCACACGACAGTCTCCACACACTGTCACTGAGTCCAGTGGGGTCAGTTCCCTGGTACAGCTGCCATGTCCTTGAGTCACACACCAATCAGCAGAGAAGCTTCCCAGCCCAGCCCCTCCCTGGGAGAGGAAGTCAGAGCGGCACACCCAGCCCTGCCTCCCTGTCAGTCACCCCGTGCTCACCTTCTAGCGAGGTTTCTCAAAAGTTAAAGCAAGTGGAGACACACAATCAGTGCC